ACACACACACACACGCACGCACACACGCACGCACACACACACACACACACACACACACACATATACAGTCAGTTGGGCAGTAATGGAGAGGAACCTGTGCTGACGAGAGCAGCACCTGTTCACAGCAAGCGGTCAGGATGCACAAAACACGGCAACTTGAGCATATAACCACTCTAACATTCGCCTCTGAAACAGAACAAGAGCAGATTCTTCAGCAACACACTCTGAGTTAGTATGATTTATCAAAAGAGAAAGATGGAATCCTGTTTTTATAATAAAGCTTTAATGGATACTGATCTATCTATCTATCATCTAGATGGTATCTTTGAATAATTTCACATTTTGCGCTATGACAAATAAATTAGCAAATGTTTCTATTTATTTCCTACAATAACACATTGGCTGATGTATCATCATAATGCATGCTAAACGTACTGTATAAATAAATATGTTACAATATAAAAGTAAATGCACATTTTTGTTGAAGGGCATCTTTTGCAATTAATACATATTTAATACATTCCGTTTGCCGTCTTCCCAATTGAAATTCCATAAAATCCTTGTGGAATGTAAACAATCCAATTCAAATTCAACATATGCACTGAAAAGGCTTAAATTCTGAATTTTGCCCAACCCTGATTTACAAGTGTTTTTCAATCTAAAACCCAAGTGTGATGCTTTTCTCTGAGCACAAGGGGGCAGCAAGCCACTATCAGACAGTTCACAGCTGAGACCATGATATTTTTTTTCCCACTGACTCTCAAGTTTCATTGTTCTAAGAAACAATTTAAATTAAAGTGGCCCGAGAACATTTGCTGAGTTTGGTCATTTTGTTTTGTTCTTAAGTACCACAATACATTATTCTGATATATTTAGTGTGTTACACTGTGTACCTACAGGTTGTCATGTTGTTGATTTCAGTCTGCGAGGTGATGACTATGCATTGCTTTCCACAGATGTGCCATATTTGCTATAGCATACGCAGAGGAGGATTTAGAGGGCTTTTTGACGCTCTTTTCTAGCACGCTGAAGTGCTTGAGCATTGAAACACAGGTAAGAGTGGCACCGGTTGGGTCAAGTGTTTATGCTGGAGTGAGAGCAGCCTTCCCTCGTATCCTCTGTCTGCACTTACCCAGAGATCAGAGAGCTCAGACATGAAGCCTGCCAAAATTAGCACAATACTATCAGCACCACTCAACGCCGAGAAAACTTTCATGGCTTTCCTTTCTGAAACAACTACTTGTTTTTATAAAATACTTCATCATTGTTATATTATTGACTCCTCCATGAGCCCCTTTCTCTCTTATTCTCTCTCTCTCTCTGACTTTATCCTTCTCTTTTTTTGTCTCTCTCTCTCTCGCTCACACACACACACATGAGATCTAAGCGTAACAGCACAGGGTAGATAATTACAATTTCAAAATCATTTGCCAGATCATTACCACCTAATCCCCTGTTTCATCTTAAGAGTCACGCGTCTCATTTGGCATGGTGCTGGACAGCTCACAGGCTTTTTTCTGTTTTTTTTCCCTCATAAACAGCACTGTCTCTCGTCTTTGACCAGGAAGGGCCACGGGGTCATGAGAAACGGATACACGCTCTTACACACTGACACCAACAAAATATAGATCAAGAAAAGTGCAAGTTTTTCATTTAAATAACTGAATATTTCTTGATCTGTAATTTAAAGATGCTTTTGTCTTATCATCAGGGTTTGAAATTAACTTTTTCACTCACCAGCCAATTTGGCTACTAAATTTTTAAGTTACCGGCCATTCATAATTTCTACTAGCCAAAAAAATTAAACAAATAAATTATGAAAAAAAGGCCGGAGGTAAGCCAACAGCTTAAGGCTGTCCACACTGGATGCGACAAAGTGACCATTGCAAATCATTTGTACTTTGTCAAACAGTAGGCCTACGCCATAAATAGAACGAAGCATCAGTTTACTGTCGGGGATTTGTCGTGCTGTGCTGTGCCACATCCAGTGTAGGCCGCATCACCGATTATAATGGGTTCTATAGTATTTTGTCGCATCTGGTGTAGACACGATGCGAGTCTTCAGGCATTTTTTGACTTTTCGTTATTGCTTCAATGCAAAGGAAACCAGTGCGCCCGTCACACCATTATTTGTTGCGTAGTGACGGGTACAGGGCTGGACTGAGGTTAAAATTCGTCCCTGGACAAATCCAGCCTACCCGGCCCTCAAGGTCCCCTGTGAATGTTTCGCTGTGTTATAGGGCCTTCAATCGAGTAAGTAAATAAATAAATAAATGAAGACAAAAACAAATAATGATATATTACTGAATTCACAGCAAATGCAACAAACTAATAGCCTACTGCATTTTTGTCACATAGAAATGCACTTGACAGTATAAGCATTGATTTTGTGCTAGAACATAGGAAATTTACTGCTAATAAATGCTGTCATCCTTTCCTCACCCTCATGTCTTTC